CACAGTCTGTACTTTTTACATTTCATTATCACTTACCTCCAACCTTAGTAGTTTTCCCCTTTACACATATCTCACTTCCTCACTCACTCTGCCAGGATCACATGCCATGCACCTCATGAAATTGGCTCTTGTCATAATAAAATTTGGTACCCTTTAAAGTGCCACGAGACTTTAAAAAAACAAAAAACTAAAATTAAATTCAGGCTCATCTAATCCAGATACTAGAAGCGGCGGTCAAATATATCACCGCACCTTGTCTTGCTCCTTGAATGAATACTGAATAGCTCTAATTAAAACCCATGGGGTGCTCCTACTGGTTTAAGAACAAAAGCCTAATTACAAGAACACTCAGAGATCCATTATTCCACCAACTTTCAAAATGGCTGGTGCCCATGAAAACTGATTGTTCTGTGAGAAAACTCCTCATGCTACTTTTCCCCCATGTTCAGAATTTCCCTTTGAACTTATTTGCAATATAGTAAAAGGTAAAGGGTAAAGGGACCCCTGACCATTAGGTCCAGTCGTGACCGACTCTAGGGTTGTGCGCCCATCTCACTTAAGAGGCCGGGAGCCAGCGCTGTCTGGAGACACTTCCGGGTCACGTGGCCAGCGTGACGAAGCTGCTCTGGCGAGCCAGCACCAGCGCAGCACACGGAAACACCATTTACCTTCCCGCTATAAAGCGGTACCTATTTATCTACTTGCACTTAGGGGTGCTTTCGAACTGCTAGGTGGGCAGGAGCTGGGACCGAAAGACGGGAGCTCACCCCGCCACGGGGATTCGAACCACCGACCATACGATCGGCAAGTCCTAGGTACTGAGGTTTTACCCACAGCGGCAGTGCAATTGACCATCAGGGAACACACTCTTCAGGGAAGAATGATGGTGCCTGCCTTTCTGTCACACACCTCAAAAATCCAACTGTTAGCAGAGATAAAAAGGTAAAGGACCCCTGGACGGTTAAGTCCAGTCAAAGGCAACTATGGGGTGCGGCACTCATCTCACTTCAGGCTGCGGGAGCAGGTGTTTGTCCACAGACAGCTTTCCGAGTCATGTGCCCAGCATGACTAAACTGCTTCTGGTGCAACAGGACACCATGATGGAAGCCAGAGTGCACAGAAATGTCATTTACCTTCCCGTCACAGTGGTACCTATTTATCTACTTGCACTGGTGTACTAGAGGCTGGGGCAGAGCAACGGGAGCTTATCCCGCCATGCAGATTTGAACCGACAACCTTCCAATCAGTAAGCCCAAGAGGCTCAGTGGTTTAGACCACAGCTCTATAGAAGTGGTGAAGAGTAAACAAAAACAAAAAACCCCACCATGTAAAATAATAGCAGTCCTGGTCTGGTGCAAACAGGAGTTGAAGGGTTTGAGTGCTAGAAAGTCACTGGCCAAAACAAATTATGATGTGCCAAGAGAGGGAAGGAGAAGTATATAGCAATAGGAATAGCAGGGAAAAGGGATCTGTTAGAAATCTGGCTTGTTTGCTGTACTTGCTACTTTTGAGGAATTGGTTACTGATTATACTTATTACATATCTGACTATGCTGAAAGATTTCTGACTCAGGATTACAATTTATAAATAATATCTATTATGAACATTGCTTATTTTATAGTCAATGTATAATATTTGTATAATATTTGGACTATTGAAAAAAATTGGACTTTTGAAATGAATTGTTATTAGGCTGCTTCTTGTAATGAACTGCTATGTATATTTATTGTTGTACTGATGTTCTTGTGTTGTGTGTAAGCACATTCAAGCAATTGTTGCTGAGATATGAAGCCCTGTCCGGCGTTGGACCTGGCTACCTAGGCCCTCTCTCACATAGGCCTGCATGTTCACTGAGAGGGGCAGATAAGGTCCTGCACAACCAGGAGGTTTCTGCTTTTGTTTCATTTTTTTAAATATACAAACTAATGTGAAAAATGTGGAGAACTGAACTTAAGATCGGAAAGATGAGAAACTGCAGAAAAACAAAACTGACAGATTTCCCAATGGAAACTGACAGATTTCTGCCTGGTGCCCAGAACCTGCTGGATGATCCAGACCAGAGCTTTTTAAAAAGGGGGGGGGGGATAGTTGAAAGGACAGAGGCAGTGGTAGAGGCCTTGGACTGCCTCTTAAAGGGATCCACAGGTAGACTTATGATCCAGTCTGGGATCATGATCCTCTTGGATCAAATCATGAGAGTCCCCTGTTAAATCCAAGTTTTGTGGATTTCTCCTCCATCCTGACAGAGGACCTAACCCTCATACATTTGTACTGGGCCTAGAAAATCCCACTGGCACCTCTGAAGATAATGAGGCCACGCAGCAGTGCAGCATTCACTAGCAAGGCTTCCAGGTTTCAACAAGCCAAAGCAGTGATTCTCCACAGGGGTCCAGTGAATTATAACGCAGATGCAAAGCGGATTACAGTACTAGATGTTATGGCATATCAAGTATGCACAAAAGAGAAGCCACTAAATTGCATCCTTCGGCACTCTTTCTGCTTCTGATATTTATAAATCAATAGCTGGCTTTCAGAAACATTTTGCTCCCTCTGGTATGTCAAGCCATATACACAAATCACATATGACAGCACAAATCACAGAAGACCACAAATATTATTTATATAGGAAAGCAATGCATGAACTATAGCCCACACGGAGCCAGTTAGCGTGTACAGGTGGCCACAAGTTTCATAAAAAAACCTCACAAAGGATATTTAGTATACCCAGAGGAAGAGGCACGGCAGCGTTGCCAATACTTCTAGACACTCCACTTACAAAAATACAAAACTCTAAACTTCCCAGTGTTTCACTGAAGTTTTAATTGAACTGTGCTTTTATATGCTGTAAATTGCCCAGGGACTTCATGGTGAAGGAGATTGTGCAATAAATAGAAATGACAACAGATAATAAACCAAGCGAAGTAAATACAGTGGTACCTCGGTTTACGAACTTAATCCATCCCGGAAGTCCGCTCTTAAACTGAAACTGTTCTTAAACCAAGGCGCGCTTTCCCTGATGAGGCCTCCTGCCACTGTTGCCCTTCCACGGTTTGGCTTCCGTTCATAGACCAAGGTAAAGTTCGCTAACCAGAACACTACTTCCGGTTTTGCGGAATTCATATACCGAATAGTTCGTAAACAGGGCTGTTCTTAAACCAAGGTACCACTGTAATCTCATACTCTAAAGACACCTTGTGATGGAGGGAAACCCACAGTTTTGAACAGCATATCCCTCACACCAGATCATTTCAGCGATATTTGCGATAGTTGTGTTATTGTGATGTGCCATCATAATGTGTTGTGCAAATCAAGGCAGCTACTAGAACAGCCCGCAAAATTCCAGGGAGGGGAATTATTGTGCAGTCAGTTGTCCTGCCCAAGGAATTTTGCTGCCCAGTTCCAATCCTTACATAGTTTACACAATATATTTCCACAAGAATTCCATCTCTGACATGATCCTTTCTGTCATGGGAATGGAATCTACATTTACTAATAAATTAAATGTCCCACTGACTTAGAAGCAAATGAGAGCTGTCAAGCTTTTCCAAGTGGCTACTAGTGAATACTGGATCTTCTAGTTGTCCGTTGTTTGCAGTTTATTAATGGAACTGAGCTTTCCCAATAAATATACTGGGCACCCAAAGTATTTGCTCATTATCTTAGTATCTCCATATTTATTGTTTAAGAACAGAAGCTGAGGAGGTGCTCTCCCTTGGTGGAGGTCTGCAGGCAGAGGCTAGACAGCAATCTGTTTGGGATGCTCTGAAATGTGGATTTCCTGCCATGACCACCTCCATCTGTGGCTTGATTAGATGCCATAGAAGGCTTCTTCCAGCCCTACATACACACCTGTCACCATGTTGTGGGTTGCTTTCAACAGCTTTCTTTTTAAAGGTTGGAATATTTTTTATGGGTCATCTTGTATAGGAATTCACATTGAGCAAACAAGCAAACCTACCCTGCAATCTCACTTTCTATTAAGCATCAAACTGACCCCTTTTGCATTTGCTCCAGTAGCACACAGCTCAAAAGCTGCACCAACAAAGAAACATACTGCCCCAACATTAAGGGAAGGTTGCACTATTATTATTATTATTAATAATAATAATATCATTTTTATTTGGGGTTATTCAATCTTAATCTGAGTATGCATGCATATTCCTTGTAATTATTTCTTTTGGGGGGTGGGTTGCCAGTTAGTAGCCTGAGCTAGGATCAAAAACACAGGACATAATAATTGAACAGGTAACCACTCATAAGTCTATCTTATGACTTTCTCTCAAAGCAAAGTTCAATTAAAATTGCGGCCCAGCTGACTTTCACATTATTTGCTTGTTTAGTACTTACCGCAGCTGATCCTTTGATGGCAGTAGGAGACCCAGTCTAGCATCCTGCACCTTTATTAACTGAAGATGTTCTGCCCACAGGCAACAGGAGATTGGCAGCCATCACTTCACAATAACTACTGTGTGTGTATGGCTCCAGAGCATATTTCAGCTCTATTCCAAAAGTCTTTTGCCAACAACTATCAATATACTAACAGCAAACTGACAGTTTCTGCACAAACCTGATGTCATCAAAGGAATACTGAGGGTCATTTTCTGCAGGTCATGCTCCCTAGATTTTTTTTAAAACCACATTCATCAGGAACTGTTGGACACTGCCCAATGCGATTAGCCACATAACTGCATCCTCTCATGGAAGAAGCTTCCATATCAGGCTATTGACGGCTCCTGGGCAAGAAGGAGTATGAGGCCTTCCTTTTGCAGCTGAGCCTTTCTTGAATCTCTACACTTGTGGAGTGACCTCCCCCTACCCAGGTGATTCTAATCACCACCTTTGTTGTAATTTCTTCAGCAGGTGAACTTGCACCTCTTCACCCAGGCCTTTGGATGAAGTGCAGGGGAAGATCAGACTGCCTGTTTGACTCTACTTTTTGCAATTTCAATTACCTGCAGTTTTACTGTGGATTATTATTATTATTATTTTGTATTTTGTTTAGTATATTGTTGCAGTTGATATTATTAAATCAATGTTGGTTTTTTATTTTTTGTATCTCTGCCCCGGGACCTTTGAGTGAAGGGCAGACTTTAATTAATTAATTGATTGATTGATTGATTTAAATAAAATCAACTCTGCCCCTAGAGGTGTGCTCAAGCCCTTGTAGGCATGCCTAATTGGAGAATCCTCCGCAAGGAGTTGTGAGATTTTCTGGTGCTCCAGCAGATGACATTATTGTTCCTGCTCCAGCAGATGACATTATTGTTCCTGCTGCCAAAAAAGTACCGGAGCCGTGCTCCCAACCCTGGTCCTGCTCCACTGCCCCACTGGAACTCATACAGTGGTGGCTGGGGAGTTGGCTGGCCACTTATGCCACTTACTTCATCTATCCCTGCTAGAAAGGTATCCTGCAACTTTTGGAGCTCTTCTCATTCAAGAGATAAAAACTGAGGAATAGTGGCAGACCTAGTAAAAAAAAATCAATAATGCAACACAAAGCATGTGGTTGAAGAATGGAAATTACTACAGATGGATACTGGTGCCAAGCTTGTGAATGAATAACGAAGTGTGGGACTAAGCAGAATAATCTCTTCTACCTGCAACAAGCCAGAGAATCGGCAAGATGAGATCATTTTCAATAAAATCCCTAATACAAAGATGCACTTTTGGGGAAAGAAATCCAGTATTCCTAAAGGGGCAATGCAATAAAAATCAATCCTGAGCTATTAGGAAAAGAGCACTGTAGCAATTACTGGCACCGGGGCACACAGTGCAAACACTCTCGAGAGACACCTTGGCATAAGGGATGCTCCTGTGTGCTAGGTAGACACAAAACAAGCATGCTTATCACATTACACATAACTGTTCCCCTCTGCCCCATTAACCCATTCCCTCCATCACCTATGCCAAGGGTAAGTGGAATTATGACTCTCCTGAGTACATTCTTTAAAAAGTATTGCAACAGAATTAAGTAGGTCTAAAAATCCACTGCAGCTCTTAGTTTACCTCATAACTTTTTTTAGAAAGAAAAAAAAGTTTAACGCAAAAAAGGCAGAAGCTTCTAGCCTGCTATACAGGTATGGGAAATATTCACAACTACTATAAAAACTATGGTGTTCTTCCTGTCAAGTCAATGCTGGAGACATCTGCTTTCTTTTAACGTTACCCGCTGCCCTGGACCCATACCGATCCAGCTGCACACACAGGGCACCAAAAGGCAAAATCTTCAGAAGTGTCCATAATGTTTGGAAGCTTAAAAGCTGGTCTATATTTGGGCAGAGGAAAGTAGGTTTCCATCAGGGGAGCCAAGACAAATGGAAAATGAAGTGGAAGTAAATGGCAAAACCTGAATTTTCTAGTGCAGAATTCACACACCTATAATCAGATACCTTGCTCAAGTTAAAAGCAAATTATACAGGAACTGAATTTTGGGCTCCTCAAGGATTTAATGTGGTCTGCATTTTTAATCAGACTGACTCAATCCACACTTCCTGGACTAATCCTTGGATCAGAATGCTGTTATCCTTTATTCTTCACGGATTGGTGCAGAGATAGGATAGGATGTAAATAAGGACCCATGTGAAAAATGACATGGCCTAGAAATACACTGCTCTGCTCATCCCTAGTTAAAATGTTCAGCAGCTGTTACCACCATGCAGGTGAATTCAAGAGGCAGCATAACATTCAGACATTTCATCAGCCAGGGCAGGAACCATAAGACACCTTGCTGGAGGGAATTCTACTAGGCAAATTGTACATGGAACAACCTGGCACAAGAATGCAAGCGGGGAGAGAGGGAGGAACAGCTTGTTCCTGCTCTGCTCCTTCACTCAGTGCCATTTCTCTCGTGATGTTTTAGGGATAGGGTGATGGAGAAAACTTTTTTTGTCAGTTTTAAGAACTTCCCTGGATCTTTCAAATGAGGACCTTAAGTCAGGTCCACTTGTCACAGTTTGACACAAGGGGAAATGACTCTTCCGCCTTCTTCACCTGACAGCCAGGTACTTCGCACTTTGTCAGCATTGCCTTGGGAAGGCTCGAAAACATTTCTCAGACTCTTTATGGCAATGTTTGAGATTCCCTGAATCAGTTTAGCCCCATATGCACACATGCCTTTTGATTCTATATAGGCTTTGACATTTTTTTGGTATTTTTCGTGATATTTTAATTTATTTATATTTCAACATGTGTTCTGGACAGCATGGTGGGATAGCACTGGTTGCCCAGGAAACCCACACCATACCTTGTCTGTTGAGGAAAATTAACTTGACCTTCACCATTCCATCAGTTAGGACCTATAATCAGCAGCCATTAACATCCTGCTAGGAAGGCATTTGCTTTCTGACAAGAAAATAAGAGAGGAAAATTGGCGCCTTCACATAGAAGAATCTATGCATCGTGGGGCACTTATGAACCATTTGCCTTTTACAAAATGGATTTTGGTGAAGCAAGAGAGCTTCCTTGTCTAAGAAATCCATCCAGCTGTCAAACTTTCTGCAAACCACACTTCAGATTGGGCATGAGGGGAGATTACAATTATTAAGAATATTAATCTGAAATAGCCAAAAGAACCTGATTTCAGAGGGCCTATGCTAGTTATAAATGCCAAAGCAACAAATCCTTTCATCTCAAACACAAAAGGTACTTGTCTGAACACTGCTACAGGTATTCTGTTTAGAAACCAATCACAACAAATGCTTTATGCCAGTTCTTTTTCAACTTTTGATCTTACTGAAATTCTTATCTGCCCCCATTGCATTATTGAAATATCAATGAAAGAATGGTGCTGGGTATGCTTTTTGTTTGCAAATATAGGTATGGGAGACTGGCAGGAAGACAGTGGCTAGGGGAGGAACTACTGGGGGAAAGCAGCAGGGAGAGAAACATAGAAAGCTACCTTATGCCTGGTCTATTTAGTCCAGTATTGTCTACTTTGACTAAGGGTTCATCTACATTACTTTTTGTGCCATGTTTCTGGGCACTGACCTGGGATTTCCAGGTCCATGCCCAAGTGTTTTGGTTGCTGTTGTTGTTTTATGTCCCATCACGTTCCCCAGAAAAACCCACATTTTACTGCTGAATCAGAGCAAACCGCAACTGGGTTTTGCACAGACGATTGTTTGCATCAATTCAGCAGTAAAATGCAGCTTTTTCCAGGGAAAGTTCCCGGACAAAAAAATTAAACAAATGCTCGGACAGGGACCTGGAAATCCTAGACCTGTGCCTTGAAAGCATGTCACAAAAGGAAGTATAGGTAAAGGGACACCAGAACGTTAGGTCCAGTCGTGGCCGACTCTGGGGTTGCGGCGCTAATCTCTCTTTATTGGCCAAGGGAGCCGGCATACAGCTTCCAGGTCATGTGGCCAGCATGACTAAGCCGCTTCTGGCGAACCAGAGCAGTGTATGGAAAAGCTGTTTACCTTCCCACCAGAACTGTACCTATTTATCTACTTGTACTTTGACATGCTTTCGAACTGCTAGGCTGGCAGGAGCAGGGACCGAGCAATGGGAGCTCACCCCGTCGTGGGGATTTGAACCGCCGACCTTCTGATCAGCAAGCCTTAGGCTCTGTGGTTTAAACCACAGTGCCACCCGCATCCCTTCCAAAATGAAGTATAGATGAGCCCTAATAGCAACCTTCCAGGATCTCTGGCAGAGGTCTATCATTTGCAACTACAGTGGTACCTTGGTTCTCAAACTTAATCCGTTCCAGGAGTCTGTTCAACTCCTGAAACTGTTCGAAAACCAAGGCGTGGCTTCCGATTGGCTGCAGGAGCTTCCTGCACTCAAGCAGAAGCAGCATTGGACATTCGGCTTCCGAAAAACGTTCACAAACTGGAACAATTACTTCGGGTTTGTGGCATTTGGGAGCTGATTTGTTCGCGAGCCAAGCGGTTCAAGTACCAAGGTACCACTGTAGATCCTTTTAATTAGAGATGCCACGGATGAAACCAAGGGCCTTTTGCATGCAAAGCAAGTGTGTTGTCTCTGAGCTTATGGCTCCCTCTTTCCTAAACACCCCTCCTCCACCCTCTGACTGTTTCTGCCCTACAAACTGTCCCCTCTCAAAGTCACTCTGGAAAGAAGAAATGGGAGCGTGAGTTTCAAGGCACATGACCATGAGGCAGAACATGGGTTTCGCCTTCTTAGCCTAGTTTTCTTGATCTCACTTATTCTTGTACCTAGCTATCTGTCCAGAAGCTTTCCTTCCACGCGTGCGAAGTGAGAGAGGGAGAATCAAACCTGTGTGCAAGGATCTGAAATGAAGCCACTCATACAGGGTGCCTCCATCCTTCAGCTTTCCATTTCAAGAGGTACCAAGAGTCTGACTTTTTCAGAAGCACAGAAATCAAAGGAGTTTATAGCATCAAATGCAACCTGAATACAGATTTAAAAACAGAGGTATTATCAGAGGAATAAGCCCTGCAATCTTTAAAAAACTGTTCATCTCTGACCCAGTGCAGTACATGACTTGAGTGAAGGCCATCTGAACAATATAAGAGTAGAAAGTAAGATACCAGCCGATGCAGTGGCAAAATGTTTTGTGCTAACATCCTGGCTTCAGCGCTGCCACAGGCTCCGTATTTCATTTTCAGCACTTTTAGTGTTGATCCCAGTGCCATACACCTTGTGAAGTGATCGCTTGACCCAATGTATTGGGAGCCAAGATGAAAGGCCTCAAAAAAAACCATAGGAATGTGTTGACAGCTGTAAGAAAGAAGAGACTCCGGGAGACTCAGAATTGGCATGTCAGCCAGCCCACACTAGCAGCACCTTGTGTTGATCATGGCCTCCTTTTCATTATTCCTACGTGGAAGAGGGGGAAAACGCTCTTTTGGCAAGAGCAATAAACTGCTCACTTCTTTACGGTGGGTAAACAGGCATTAGCATGTGTTTGTTCAGTATGTTGAAAACGACTTCCAGAAGGATTGCCTGATATGTTGTTGATCTGAATCTCAAAGACAGCTTGGATATGTCAGCATGTGCAAGTTCTACAAGAGAGGCCCCCTGTTTCCGAGCAGTTCTCCTACTGCTTGGTTTCTCTACTTGCTGCCACTGCATCTGTTCCTATCAGTGGCTGGCAATGAGAGCCCTCCGCTTATGTCTGCCAGCACTACAGCCTAACTGACACATTCGTTAATAACATGCATGCACAGATTTTTCCCCCCCCAGAATGCAAGTTGTACATAAAACAAACATGGAATTGCAAAATGGAGAGGCAGTTCTGGGGTGGAGTTTTTGTTTTCTGTTTTTGGATTCTTAGTTGTCTGCAGATCCCTGAAAGGGCAGTGCTGCTGCAGTTGGACAAAATTCCCTCATATGCCTTCCTGAATGCAAACATGCAAGAACTGGAGGTGGTGACAGGAAGTCTTCTCCTCCACTAGTTCAATCCCAGGCCATGCCTCTAATGCATATTTGAAATGCATGACTCCCCCCCCCCCAAGTATCCTGGAATGTGTAGCTTGTTAAGGGTGCTGGGAACTGACTCCCCAAACCACTATCTGAGGGAAGCCTTCGCATGCCTAGTAGTTTTCTTGATTTATTAAAACATGCTGGCATGCTTTGGGCACTGGTGGTACCTTTCCTGATCTGCAGTATACATTGCAGCCGAGCTGCTATTACTGTGGTATTGAGCCACCCCCAAGATCAGAGCAGTTCAACTTTTCATACCAAGTAGGCCGCAGGAGTACTTCAACACAGAACCCATGGGCCACACGTTGCCTTGTTGTGCAGTAGGGAGGAGCAAGTCCAAAATTTGATGCCCCTGCTCAAGCTCTCATGCTATCTTCCCAAAGTGAGACACCGGCTTTGGGAAGGAGACACAAGGCTCTGGCAGGTCCTAGAGCCTTCCTACCTTCTTCCCAAAGCTGGGAAAGCACTAACTAGGCTTTGGAAAGGAGAATGGAGGACTCTAGGACCCTGTCAGAGCCCTCACACCTCCTTCACAAAGCCCAATACCTCCCTTAACCCAGCTTTGGGAAGGCAGCACAAGGGCTGTGGTGGTCGTGGGGCATCAAATGTTACCAAGGGCCACCAAAAAAGGCCTCATAGTCCATGTGCAGCCCTTGGGCCATGTGTTGGACCACCCCACCCAAGATATCCCATCAGGCATCTGGGGTAATCACACAAGCACTTTGAGCCATGCTTGAAAACAAACCAGAAGCCAGTGAAATTCTTTCAGTATCAGCAAAACAGTCAACAGTGTGGAGGCTGCATTTTGAACTAAATACAGTTTCTGGACAATCTTTGAAGGCAGCCTGACATACAGCACATTGCCATAGCATCACTTAGCTGTGGCCAGGAAAGGCCACAGCTGATGAGCCAGCCTAAGCTGATGGAATTATATGAGTGGCTATTATTGTGCAACAAATGGTTGAGTAGCAGACAAGAGGCAAACAAGGTGTCCATTGGGAATAGGGCAGCCCATTAGAACCCAGGGGAAATGGGACCTCAGAGGTGACCAGAACTGGCCTAATCCTAGGAGAGTGGCAGGGTCAGGAAACCCGTGCAACAGACAAGCTGAGAGGACCATGAGCATCCATACTCAAATTTGGCTTGAAGGCTTGAGTGGGTAGGAGATACTGCTGCCTTGAACAGACAAAAGCAGGCCTTGTAGCACTTATACAAGACCTGGCACATCTGGAGGCTTCATAACATCCACCAGTCACAGTAGCCAATGTTACACACCCCTGTCCTTTTTTGCACCTGAGGAGAGCTCTGAAGCACTAGCACACACTGTCCGCAGTAGCTCACCAGACTAAGTTCTATCCTTAGACCCCCCAGATTTATATTTCACACCCCAGAGTGGCTAATATTCTCTCTCTCGGTACTCGGGGCATGGCAGGGTGTAAGGAGGGATTGCCATATTCAAGAATACCAGGAACCCAGATGGGAATGGATAAAGTACCACTTTGTCAATACTATATTATGCAAAACCAGGGAGGCGGAGTGATACCACAGAGTTCTGAATTCTCTTGGAATATTTCCCACACAATGACAGTCTGAATCATTATTAGGTAAAGATGGGTTATTTGCATCACGCAATGTCATTCCATCATTCAGAGGGAGCCTTGGCAAGTCAGAACAAAAACAAGGACAAAGTAATCTGTGCTTGAGCTTCTCCTGCCAAGAGAGCAATCTGCTGCTAGGCAGGATTTCACAGGGGACTCCAAATGAAATCACCTCACCCTACAAGGTGAGCATCTGAGCAGTAGCCCGTTTGCTACCAGCATCAATGTTTTGGGCAAAGCAAGAGAGTAAGATGGGACTGACAACAATTAAGAAAAGAAAAGCTCTGGACTTGTCTCTGCTCATCTATGTTTCTTGGCATTCCAAGGCGAAGATTGAAAGTCTGTCATGCGCTGGTTGAAAAACATTGGAGTGGCAAGCTTCTAAGGAACCTGCTACTCTACATAGCAAAAAACAGGCGTTTTCAGTACATTTAATACCTCAGAATCAGTTCCCACACAGAGAATTGATTTTTCTTTTTAATTGCAGTCACATTGTCTCACTGAAGATCCCCAGGAAGCATTCCTCAGACTTACGCCTGGCATTCCAAGAATTTCCAGGGATTAAACCAGCCCTCAGTGGTGTGAGAAGGGCATTTTAAAAGCTAGAAGTATATGATACACATACTAGAAAATTGCCCAAGCTAACCTTTGGTATGAAAAAGATCAAGGAGCTGATTCACTCTTGCATATGCATCACTTCAGGGCCGGCACAGCCACTGGAGGCAAAGCAGGCAACCGCCTGGGGGTGGCAAGATCCTGGGGGCAGCTGCTTCAGCTATGCAAATGCCTGCCTGCATTTTTGGAGGCAGCTCGGCAGCTCATCAGCTGAGTGGTATCCCCTGCATTCCAGGGCCTTCTGATCTCCACCAGCTGCCAAGTGCATAGATATAGTTGTAAGGGCAGTAAAGAAGTGACAGGCACTTTTTCAAAAAAAAATGAGAAAATGGTATTGGTCAACACTTCCTCGGTCAGTTTGCTGCTGCTGTGCTGCTTAGGACACAGCAGGACACCAAGTTTGATGTGGAAGAGGGGACGGGAAAAGGGCAACAATCTAATTTTTCCAGGGCTTTAAAAACACACATACACAAAAGCCCTTGGCCAAATTTGTAAACATCCGATGATGCACAGCTGAGAATGTGAACAGATTTCGGAAACTTAAGTCCATTACTTATATGAGTTATAAATCCATCCACTGAATCTGCATGTGAATAGAACTGTAGTTAGAGAAACACAGGAGATTATGTCTATAACAGCAACTCCCTTGGATTTGCTTGGAAGGTTTCTGTGTGAGAGAGGAGCAGAATGCCACTTCTAAGATGGCGTCTGACACCTGTGGTTCTTGTTTTAAATCAGGGATAGGAAACCCAAGGCCCTTCAGCCCGTATGATCAATGGTCAGGGAAGACAGCAGTTATAGCCCATCATTACCTGAAGCATTACAGCAGGCTTTCCAAAACTTGGGTCTGCAGCTGCTGTTGGACTACAACTCCCATCATCCTAGCAGAAACAGTGGTCAGGGAAGAAGCGAATTGTATTTCAAAAACAGCTGGAGACCCAAGTCTGGGAAACCACATTCCTTTTTTAAGCACTTACATTAGAAATAATGAACATTTTCTACAAACTCAAGGGGTTCCTTAATTAATTCAGCTAACTACAATAGTTCATCAATAAATATACAGTGGTACCTCGGGTTACAGACGCTTCAGGTTACATACGCTTCAGGTTACAGACTCCGCTAACCCAGAAATAGTACCTAGGGTTAAGAACTTTGCGTCAGGATGAGAACAGAAATCGTGCTCCGGCAGTGAGGGGGCAGTGAGAGGCCCCATTAGCTAAAGTGGTGCTTCAGGTTAAGAACAGTTTCAGGTTAAGAACGGACCTCCAGAACGAATTAAGTATTTAACCCGAGGTACCACTGTACTGATGTAAATGATTCGTACAGCTCTGTTGACAAGCTTCATGATACAAAACTTTGCAGTCATGGCTCATTCAGGCATGAAAATCATGACACTGCAGTCCTTAAGTAACAAATACACACTTTTGCCAGACTGCTTCTGGGACGCACCATTTTGGATATCCAATACAGTAACCTGTCCTAGCTCCCACCCCGAAACATGCAGGCAGATAACTTTTCCTTGGAAGTAAGGAAGATATATTTATTTAAGCAAATAATAGTAAAGGCTCAGCTGTAGATACAAGGCTCAGGAGTCACGCTTCTGACCATGCTGGCTGGGATTGAAGGGAGTGGGGAGCCCAGCAACATTTTGAAGGTTGCAGGCTCCCCTCCCCTGCTTTGAACTTTTAAAAGCTGAAGATTTCAGGAATTAAGGAAGGGGAAATCAAATAATTGTGAGATATGACAAAACATAAATCTAAGGTGTTATTAAGGATTTGGGCAAAAGTGCTAGCTGCATTATGGACCCTTTTAGCCTTAATTTCCGTTTGGTTTAAAATAGGACTAGGATTTAACCAACTTTAACCCCACTGAATCAAACTAAGTGCCCTCAATTTGTGTGCGTGTTTTTTTAAAAGAAGAAGCTTAGATTCAAGTAGTTCAAATTAGCTAGGGTGTGAAATGGGCTGATAATGCGCAATATGTTTTTCTTCACATTCACACAAAAAAGAACGTTTGCAGGAGGGGGGAGAGGAGGACTGGCAGAATAAGTTTGCTGTATTTCAGATATGAAGTTTATTGCCAGAAAAAACTGTGTCACTCGTCAAGTCACTTTAAAGTGTTACCCAATGTCATGACTGGGGAGAGGGCTTTGAAGAAAAAGAAAGAGAAAAACGTTTTCCCCCCACTCTGCATCTGTACTCCACACAGCCTTTGCCATCTTGGTCGCTATACTTTCTGAGCAACTCAATTTCCAGTTCCTTGAAAATGCTGACATCTCTTTAAATGGCAATATTCTCTAAAACCACAGAGAAAATGTAGCTTCTGCTCCAAGTCATATAAAAGATTATTCTGAGCTTTGAAATGATACTAAATTTAAGCTGCAATTTCAAGTGGCTGAGAAGAGATTGGCATTTTAATGGCTGCCTCCCAACCCCCCCACCCCGCCCAACACCACTCTTCTCTCAATCCCTTTTGCCACATAATTCCTCATGTCAACTCTTTGGATTTCCTTCCAAACATGCCATTTAACTATCAGACCCAATTCACATTACTAGCCCCTACCTTCACAGCATTACAGCCAGGGTGAGCTTGAAATCTTAAAGACCAGTCACTATTTCCTCAAAGCCGCAGAGTTGGAAAGTTAAGAGTTTGGATGATAAAGCTGACATACAGGCATAATGAACAACTGGATAATTCAAAATTACTACCAATATCTCTAAGTCAGGGATGGGGAGCCTGTGGGTCTCCATATGTTGGGACTACAACTCCCATCATCCCTGATTACTGGCTATGTTGGCTGGGACTGATGGGAAATAGATTCCAACAATATCTGTAGGTTCACAAGCCTACAGGCTGTGTTTTATTATTGAACAACTCACATTCATGTATTTTTACATTTGTATACTGCGGCTTAGTCATGCTGGCCACATGACCCGGAAGCTGTACGCCAGCTCCCTTGGCCAATAAAGTGAGATGACTGCCGCAACCCCAGAGTCGGCCACGATTGGACCTAACGTTCAGGGGTCCCTTTACCTTTACCTTTTATACTGCCTTTCCTTCAAGTTTCCCCCATTTTATTGAAAAATGTAACTTTGGCATTACACCTGTGTCGTGTTTCCGTTGCTGCTCCCTTCTGTTGGAATGCTGTACCTCTTGAACATTACATGGCTCCCTCAGCTTCTAATTTTAAACCTTTATTAAAAACCCATCCCTTCATCCTCACATTTTGAACTGAGCTCATCGTTCACCCTTTGCTTTTCCTTCTCTGAGGTGTCCAGTCTTTAATGTGAGCCTGTAGTCAGAGACTTTTCTTTTTATGACCCTTGGAACGGTGCCTAGCAATGCAAGAGGTGCCTTAGGCATCATTTTAAAGTGATAATAATTTTGTCTTCACAATTTGTCTTTGAGCTTCATTAACCTATAGCATAGTGACTAGCTGAAGGTCAACCAGACAACTTAGTGGGTTGTATGGGGAGCTGAAATCTGGCCTCGCTTGTTCAACACAGGCACTCGGCTCACACTATCATACCAGCTTTCATTGCTATTTGCTCATTTGTGCATATGGTTGTGGTACATTCGTGGTGCCCACAATAGTATATCTGGTTTGCTAGTGTGCCCCACAAGGTCCCAAAAGGTTGGTGATCCTGGATTTTTAATATTTGTATGTGACCTTCAGTT